ACGCGAGTTGATTAATCACGCCGACTAATCAGATTCGTAGACACTCGCTCGATAAAATTAATCGAGGAACCAAAATTCGACGTGGATTCAACACCGACGAGCCGGCTCGGCGATCCAGTACGGCGAAACCTCGCCCCGCGATAAGGACCTCTTCGCTTCAATTTCATATTGTCCTGACTCAAAGGACGCGATGAAAACGCGAGGGCGGTTAATTAATTATACCGACGATCCGATCACGCGGTAAACGAAGCGAGACATTAATCACGGGTCGCGGCCGGACATCGTGGCGTTTGCAACGTGTTCATATCGCGGGGCCGACGTTTCCGCCGTTCGCAGAAAAGAGTTTCATTCGCGCCGCAATTAAGCTTGCGATCCGTCTTCGTCGTCTCGCTGAACTGGCAACCGGGATTAATTACTTGCAACCGGCATTTTATTCCGGAAAAGATGTGACGTGCGCGCCGACTTTCTTCTCACAGTCCTCCCCTCATTCGCATCAATTGACCGGGAAAAAACAGAGATATCTCTGTTTCTGTTGTCATGCGAGCACATCACAAGTGCATCGCTCGCAAAAACCCGTTATTATTACAAGAGAGTACGCGACAGGGGGATAAAAAATTCACAGCCGTTTAAGATTGCGTTGATTGACTTTTTGATTTTAACAAGCTCCAGGTATTTCATAAAAATTTATAAGACAGTTGATCAGCCGCAATAACCTGTTCAACAATTCTAATAATTTTGAAAATTATAGTCGAGTTTTTATTATAATTATTTTTTTATTCGTTTATCTGTTTCATTTCGGTGCATTAATACACTATTTCAACATTATTATACAGCCGAGTTTAGGCGGATAACATAAAATTGACGATTACAAAAGATATATTTTTTATTTTGAATGCGATATTTTCGTATTTCCCAGATTTATTATGAAATTATGATTTTTTGTTATGAAGGTTTTATGAAGGCTTTATTACATATATTTATAACATGTGTGCGTGTGCTTCTGTAATGATAAAGATACATACGCAAGTGCATCCTGATGCAATAAAAATTTTACTTTAAAAAATAGATAACAAAAAAAAATTTTTAAATGGCGATTTTATCCGTCAAACAAGTTGAGATCGTATTGCGAACGTAATCGAGGCAAAATAATCTATGCGACGGACTTCAAAATTTAAAATAAATACGATTTTTATTTGCAGAATTTATACATATTGTTTTATTATTGATGCTTTCTTCAAATGGTTAAATTTCAAGAATAGCTATGATAAATTACATTCGACAGGATGCGAGAGAGTATTTTTTGTTGTTATAATTAACGATAAATTGTTGTTTGATAACTCACATCTCTCTCTCTCTCTTTCTTTCTCTCTCTCTCTTTACGCAATAATTTTGATTAATCAAAATTTTTGGTTGCGATATAATTATGGTAAATGTAATATAATATATATGAAACATTTTGCAAAAAGGACTTGAAATCAAAATATATATATATATTTTTTTCTTTTTTACGTCGAATAAACTTTTATGTTCTCAATTTTATTTGAAAAATATTATACGTTATTTTGCTGGCTGCGAGAGAAATTTACTGAACCGTAATAATGTGCAATATTTTATATTGGACATTAAATTAAATTACTGCTTTAATTTAAAATATAATAAAAATTAGTTTTGAATTTCTGTAGCTAAATATTATTTATTTTTATATTAAATTTTTCTTCATCATCACTGACACATTCCGATTGCATTCTTTAAAAATTGTAATTAGCCCGATCACTGTACAACAAACATTAATTGCTAATCTTTCGCCGATAAAATTGCCTGCTCCAACGTAAACCGTATGTCGATCATACGTAAACGGGGACAGTCGGATGATAGACCTTATTTGCGTACGTCGTAAAAAAGAAAAAAAATGGAGATATACGCAACCAGAACATATCATAAGTGAAATTGATATGCGAGATAACGTAGATAGCTCACGAATATTCAGACTTGAGCCGACATTTTTTTTAACAGCATATTAGCTGTTTATGCTGTTAATAGCATATTTTTAATTGCTCACAATCATGCATTTTTTAGACGTTTATCCGAGAAAAATAAAAATAAACTGCGCATTAACAAATATCTAACTTTTAAAAGATAAAAATATCTCCGAAAATTTGAAGTGTTTCTTATAAAAGCGTATACAGTCTCTTAATCGTATAATATATTGTTACATTTTTTTATAAGAAAGAGAATTTTTTTAAGTAATAACACGTTTCATAGACATTTTTATCAATTATAAACGAACTTTCTCTTATCTAAAAGTGGTTGAAAGACTTTTCGAGATATACGTGACAATTAATTCCGTGCTATCTCACATTGAAAGTTCACAAATGCGTAATTTGCGAAAATTCACGCTGGCTAAACCGGTCAAGTCGCGAGTAACAACCCATCACACTTTACACATTGCGGGGAAATAATCATGTCGCGTGTCACATCCGAGCCCGCGTCCTTTCGCTTTGACAACAGCGCAAGGATCACACAAATGGCGCTGTCGCCGACCGCCAAAAGTCACACCTGCACTGTGCGGCGAAATATTTTGGCGTGACTCGCTGTAAACAATAGACAGCGGAAACGACGATATCATCGAAACGGATATAATTCTGTTGGAACAAATCGAGAGTCACACGCGTGCTATATAGAGTCGGGCTGCAAAGCGTATTTCAGTCTGTCTGCAAAATCAAAAATTTGGCTTGGAGGTACGTCGATTAAAACTGACAATGGACTGGTACTATCGAGCGGAAGAAAAAGGGGGTAAAAATTCCTGTTGTCGCAATTCGCGATAACGTAGAGTCCTCAAATTATTTTTACATATATTTTTAATATTCAAAAGTATCGTACACGTATTCCAGCTACGAGATCTTTCGTCGAATTGAACTTTGGCGAAAGTTTCATTTGACTTTTTCTGTGTTAAATTTTAATATTGAATATTTTTGCAACTGAAGATCAATTGTTACAAATTTCAATTATGCATAGAATTTTTTATTAAGGATAGCGAAATGTTGGAAAAACATTCGCTAGATCTGCGTTATTTGAAAAGGAAACGAGAAGGATATGTTACCGTTCGAATGTTCGTTCTTTTGAAGGACGTTTCGAAAGAAACTCAGGTAAAACGTGTAAATGGAAAAAAAAGGGACTCTAACGAGAGGCGATTTCCGACGAAAAAATTCGCGAATCGTCGAAGATTCGCAGAACCGGAAACGGTATTCCCCGTAGCCGCTTCCGTTGAGTCGCAAAAAGGATTGGAGCGGGAACGGTTTTACGAAAAACGGCTCTTTATCGCTTTCTTCAGCCGCGGCACACGGATGACGTCGTTCGGCGACCGTTTCATGCGGAATGGTTGAAAAATAGAGAAGTATAGCGAAGGGACGCAGGAAGAAAACTATCTTCTTTCCGTTCCGCGCGGCCATCGCGAAAGGAACTATTGAACCGGCTGGCGCGCAAGTTTAGCGATCTTTTCGTTGAGGATCAACTCGTTCGCTATATTAATGATTGCGCGGCACGGATTATCCATTGGGATTTCTTTCCCTACACGGGTCCATCTTCTGCGAACAAACTTTTCTGTAAAATTGATTGCGTTTACACGAGTCGAAAAGACGCCGTCGGACAGACGAGGCAGAAAAATGGGGGTCCAGCCGGCTTGAACGATAGTTAAACTTAATTCAATACAACGCAATTTTCGAAGCATTTATATATCGCTATATTACGTTTAATGTAAAAAATGAAGCGAAAAATTTCAGGAGGGAGTAAGAGTCCCTCAAGATTTAGACGGTGTGAAGAAAATGAGACCGGAAGAATTTATTCGTTCTCGCGAGACCCGCGGTTACTAATTATTTTTACGGAGTAACTGGCGCAGTAATTGGCGTTTTCCCATTGGACGGTTGGTTCCTGACGGTTCTGCTGGGGGGGAAAAAAAATGTGAACTGTCGTGCGGTGTTGCGTGTTACAACGAAACCGACACAGCGTTGTTGAAACTCGCTTGCGAGCGACGCAGTACGTAAGCGAACTGGTCTTTATTCGCGTAGCACTGCGAACATCGCGATAAATGGAAACTGCTCGGCCGTAAAACCTTTTATCAGCGGGGAATTTTATTCTTTCGCTTTCGCGATTTCTTACCGTTCGACTTAACGCTCGGCTGGCTCTCCATTTTCTTTTCGCGCAGTTTAAATGACAAAAAAATGTACTCGGCCAGAATTGGTAATTAACAACGTACGGCAGCGGGACATAACGCTTTTCAGCGATATCAAGCGCCGTTTACGATTTATTCAAAGGCCGCCATTGTCCGAAAGTTGTTGTCTATTGTTGCCTTCAGCCGCGAAACACTCTGTAAAGTCGATTAAATAGCAGCCATTTAGACTTCGAAGGATTAAGGGTGCGAACTCGGAAACCATTTTTAACCGAGAGTAAAAAGTAGACTGATTACCATAATAATATCATTTGACGCCTTCATCGGAGCTTTTGTGCGAAAACGTGAAGAAAGAAGATTGGCTTTCTTGGCTCGCATTGTGTGTGTGTGTGTGTGTGTGTGTGTATAATTTGTAAAAAAAAATCATTTATTATTGTACATCTTAAAAGTAATGGTATAAAAATGTTTGGGGAAAAGTTTTAAAGAAATTAAGACAACGCAAAACGTCCGACAATTACTATCTGCTATCACTTATTAATTTTCAACTAAAATATTGTAACAAGTGAGCTTTGAAATTAAACTTCCGCTAAACTCAAACACACTGAAATTTAACAATCTATGGAATTTCTTCTTTAGAAATTAATCTAGGATTATCTTCAAATTATTAGTGATATCATTCATTTGCTAAAAAAATAATCATCAAATAAAGCGATAATATTCATGCATTTATTGATGATAAAATTGATCATCGATTGAACTCGATCGAAATGCTTTGAGACGTAGCCAGCGATGGATTAAAAATAAATAATACGTGCTTTTTTCTTTCTTGTTTCAGAGCCCTGCGAGAAAACCTACTGCGCTTACGGCGCTACGTGCGTCGTATCCGAAGCCGGCAAGGCTCAGTGTCAGTGCCCCGTGAATTGTCCTTTGACTTCCAATCCCGTCTGCGGCACCGACGATGTGACCTACACGAACTACTGTCACCTGCAGGAGGCCAACTGTAATAAGAGAATAAACACCAGAGTGAAGAATCAGGGCGCATGCCGTGAGTGCTATTGCTATTTTTTTACACATATCCGTTCAGAAAAGTGGCGTCGCTTGAAAAGATGAGGTTAGAATCTCCCTAACATATATTGAACGAGTGAAACAAGTATTCAATTTAATTTATGACTCATACAGCTCTCTCGCACAAACTTCCACGTTGAAAAAGGGATTTTATTCCTTCCTCGTTTATATTAAAGGAATAATTTATTTTTATTAATGCTCTTTTTTTCCTATTTGTAAGAAAAATACAAGATACAAATTTCTCATGCGATATTGTCGTAACGATATCGTTTTTCTGAACGTTTTCAAATGTCATGGTATATTATTCACTTGAATATTGCCTGCCAAGAGAACCAAGGCAGCTTTCAACGCGTCGCGTTTCGATATGCATGACAATCGAAAAGGATTCTCAAGAATATAAACAAAGTTATTTTAAATTTGACACATGTCGATTTCCCGTAAAAATTCAATTTTACCGATTAGTTGTCCTCACTTTCGAACCGCTCTCGATATTCGATTCCGAGTGCGTGTAAAAAAAACGATAAACTCTTAAAAGTTTTGGATGACAACACTTGGAAAAATACACGGCTAAAATATACACACATCCAGTTAATTACATAACCTAGTGTTATCGAAAAATCTATCGCGTAATACACTAGACAGTCGTGATCCTTTACAAAGTGAGGCGCAAAAATAGTAATGGAAGATTAATGTTGTCAATTTAACGTCACGCGGAAGGTTTTAAGATAAGTTGCTTATCGCGAAGCCCATTACGCCCCGCATTACTCATCCAGAGTTAAGCGGTGACAAAGCCAAGCTAAAACTTTCAAGCCCGACTTCTTCGGATCCATCGTAGGTCGCGGTGCTGGCAGCCTTTTAAACTTTAATTTGCCCAACATGCTCGCCCAAGTGCTTCCCGATCCTCAAGATCCTTCTCCAGGACCCGAGCGAAATATCTCAGAACTAAACGCGAGGTAGTTTGGCAAAAAATCGGCCGGATACTCGGACGAGAGAGAAGCGCGCGCGTATGTGAAAGCCACAGGGAGACAAGACTCCGTATACCTAGAAACGTACTTTATCACTCTCTACTCTCTTTTTGCCCGTCTATCCCGCGGGATTCCGGGCTACCATGAATTAACCAGCATCCGATACGCGATTTTTGCTCCCGGCTCCGCCTCGATCCCGCACGGCGCTGCGCGCTGATTCTCAAAACGATCTTTTATTCAGGACGGGGCCGCACGCACGCGCTCTTGTCGGGCGTCTCCGTCTTCCCCGCCCGCGTGTTGCATATATCGCGGCGCTCCTTTTGAACATCCGCGGCAAAGAAACACTTCATGCCGGGTGTTACGCAAATGGAATGCGTTTCTCCCGCGCTTCTGTGCGACCCGCTCCATGGAAATTACGGCGATAATGCGCGGCAGCGACTCCGCTCATGCAAATTCTTTCGCCGTCCTCGCAGTTGCGGGACTCGGTGAGAGGATAATTTTGAGAGCGAGTAAGATGCGCGATACAATCAGAGAATGCACAGAAGTTGTGTTGCTTTGATCTCGCGAATTCGCGCCGGAATAAACGATCACTGCCGCGCCTCGCGCGTCAAGTGTTAATTTCGGCGTCTGATATTAAACATACGTGGATGAAGCGAAGGCTCGGAAAATAATGGCTTGGAATTTTAATTTTTTGGGAGCTACGGTTTCTCAAACTTTATGATCTTGATTAATTGTCGACATCGCTCTACGAACCCCGCCGACGTAAATCCCCTTTGAAAACGTCATACAAAGACCCTATTTTCCGCGTCATTGTCTTCGTCCTCGCGGACGAGCGCCGCCTCAAGTTCCTCGCAGGCGGATGATTCAGCCGTTTTGTGAGTTCTACTTAACACTCTCGCACATCCTTGCACAAGCCTCGGCTCCAATTAATCGCGCCGTGTCTGAGAGATCGGACAATGCGAGCGCGTAAGGTCGTGAAAGCTCAAGTGTCCGTCCGGCATTAAAAGGACGTGCGAAGGTCGTGAAAGCGTCCGTCCGACCAAGCGCAAGATACTCGCCTACGTTTTAAACGTCTCTAAATTCCACTTTGTTGCTCCGTTACGCACTATTGCGAATTTAAAGGTTTACTGCGACAATCTATTCAGTTGTCGCGCAATACGTTAGATAATTTACGAGGCTAAACGAGAGAAAGAGAGAGAGAGAGAGACAAAAGCGGGACGTGACGATACAAGAAGGACGCTGTTCACAAGAAGAACGAAAAATATCATTCAGAAATGAAAGAAAAATAAAAAACACGAGGTAGCTTAGTCGCTTCTAGGTCTACGAAAACGTATGTGTTCGTCACGTCCTCCTCTCTGCATTCGCTCTCTTCTCGCATTATTCTGCTTTGTGCGCTCGCCTTTCCTCCTTCTCTCTTTCTCCATTTGATCTCTTCCGCTCCTATTTCACACGCGACATATATAGAACATTTCTTATTCGTGCCGTCGCCATCCAACCTCCACGGCGGCAGTCATCCTACAAGCAACACGGCACGTAAATTATTATGCGAACAAACAATGCGAAACGAGCGTTCCAACGTCCCATAAAACAGCGCGAATCCCAAGCGATTTTCGTGCGCGTCGTGGCTCAGCGTCCCTCTCGAACAACTTCCGCTTCCTTGCTGTTGTTCTTTCGTTTACAATCCCTCTTATAGCAAGAGATCATATTCACGAATTCGTTAGCGTGGATTATTACTGCGATCATTCTTTCCGTTATTTTTTGTTTCTTCAATATACATTCATCGTGTAAGATATTTTTGCTTGTTAATGTTAATGAAAACTAAATGGAATCCAAAATTTGCAATCGAATTGTTATTTCAACTTCTAGAAATTTTAATTCATTATGCAGGGTTAAATAATTATTTTAATACATTTGAAAATTTATGGCGATATGCATATTTGAATTTGTTGTCAGCTTAATATTTTCTAAAATCCGTCAAAAATATTAATGCGCGGATCGAAATTTGTAATATCGCCGAGGAGAATTAATACCAACCTCGTGATAAGAAAATTATATATGTACCAGATTTTCTTGCTCGTGTACTTTATTCAGATTTGTGCAATATTTTATGGTTGTTCCGCAACAGTAAAAATCCTGTATACTCGTCATTAATCAGTTCATCTGATCACAGACAACACGAAGGGAGCGGGTGACAAAAGTGGGCGAGCAGATGAAGGAGCGCGGAGGCAGAATGAATGATAAGCGCCGTCTTAAGCGAGCTTCCGTCCCTTCGTACTTTTGCCGACTGAAGGAATAGAAAGCTCCACCTCTCTCTCGCACGCGCGCGCGCGCTGAGCTTTATCTGCTTACTTCAGACGCTGCGCGACGTGCTCTTCGTTGCTTAGTCTATATTCACGATAGCGGAGTCTATAATTTAGTCGGTGCAGGATCCGATCTCCAAAGGGATCAAGGCGACGCCTTATATAATTCAATTCGCATGGAAATAGCGATAGCACCGGCTGTAAAATGAATAAATTATGCATCTTTGATGCTGGATGTCGAGACTATCGCGATTTAAACGGCGGTGTTTTATGCATTCGCGGAATTTTGTTAATACTTCATAACAGATTTATATTATTCCCAGATTTCGTAATTGTTTATTCAAAATATTCGCTGGCGCGGCTCGCGAGAACCTGCGCTTTGGCGCTTTCGAGATGTAAAAATCGTGCCATTTACAAAGTCTGATGTTTCATCTCGTCAGTATGAGAGACAGTAGCTGTAATTCAGTCGCTGTAAAGCCCATAGACCATCCTCACGCTGGGAGGAAACGAAGAGATCGGAAAGCTGTCCACTATAATTCAATCAGACGCTGAGATACGCGACGTTTCGGGATCGAATGCGAGTGAAGCCTCGAGCTTTAATACTCGTCACTTAGTATTAGCGATAAGAAGTGCGAAGAATTGCTTCATGAGATTGTTAGCTTCGAGAAATGTGTTAAGGAAAAAAAAAGAACAAAAGCAAACAAGCCCCGGCGATTCGGCAACAATGATAGGATTTTCATAAAAACGATTATGTGATTTCGCATGCATGAATCGTTAAAAAAATTAGAGTTCTTTCTTTCAGCCAAATTTAAATTTAATTTTTCCTTAATGCAAGTATCAATAATTTTTGGATTTTAAGTAATTGAGAAGTGAAATTCCAGGCTTCTAAATTAGATTTAAAGTATGAGCTATTACAACTTTTACTTCATTTTATTTGATTTAAGCATGAACTTTATCTAAACGGAAATTTAATTCAATTCCTCTGTATTATTTAACATTGTTAATGAGAAAACTCTAAATTGGACGAAACGATGATTGTAGGACACTATATATATATTCTTGACTTTTGACATACATCTGTTATTCCACTCTATAAATCTTTGAATGCTTGAATCAGATCGGAGAGAGAGAAATCTTTTACTCAATTTTAAAAATAAGATTCCACACAGCCTCGATCCTGCATACAGCGTATATACATTATCTAGAAATGTCATCGACGGAACTAAATTATCCTCTCTGCAGAATTTGCAAGCTACAGAAATAGGGCAGAATCCGATGAAACAAGAATATAATTTACGACATACGATCAAGCTCTTCACTTTTTGCCATTCACATTTAGCACCGATTCGAATAGTAGTATTGATTTAATCCGTCCGGGAAGTATAAAAGTTGTCAAAAATTGGGTCGCATTTTAATTTCGGAAATATTAAATAAATATTCTAATTTTATCATTTGCCAAACAAGGTTTCTTACTCTTGGATAAGATGTGAAGTGACAAACGTCACTCTGCATTATATACGTTTGAAGTATTTATTGTTTCGCCGTTCGATGTTACTCGTAAAATAAATAAAAATATTTTACTGAAAAGAACAGTCCGTTTCCGGGGGAGAAAAAGTATTGTCCGCGAAACAAAGTCAGTGGCATAGAAATATCTTATAAAATAATCCCGAGTAGAGCAATTCATCATTTGCTTTCTCTCAGCCGTAAATATCTGA